TGAATTAACATGTCTGCTGATAATAAGACAGTAGTTGCGTATCTAATGCTTACTTGGTTATTTCTGACATCGGTTGTCATGTATACATGACTGCGTGTAGGTGATAACATAGATTAAATCCAGAAATAATTGCCTCTGCCCCCATAATGCTAAAGAATGTTTTAGCCGACAAGAAGCCTCCAAAAAAAATAATGAGGGAGGGGTAAAAATATGAGTAGCAGATAAAATTTACCCCAGTCGCTCTGCATCTTTAGGTTTAATTTTCCAAGTACAAATTTCTTTTTTCTCCGTTTGACAGAGCGGATATCGACAGTGCCGTGAATGTGCGCGCGTACACGCACACACACACACACACACACACACACACACACACACACACACACACACACACACACACACACACACACACACACACACACACACACATACACACCGGCTTTCATTCCGCTTCTGCGCTCACTCTTTTTCTGCTCTTGTCTCTTCCTTCTCTCGACACATTCTATTTTTATACGATATATACACACACATACCATATACACTTATTCTTACATATGTACCATATATACACACATTCTTACATCTATACTAGCAAACTTATTTCTTGCTCATTACGCATTTACTTTGACTCGCATTACATCACTTACACATAATTTCGATCATACTAGACAAGATTTCTTTCTATTTACTTTACATCTCTTCAAGACACTCATGATCGCATATCTCAAGAATCATACACGTATATGCATACATAGGGAAAACACATCTAGGGATACAGAAGGCGCTTATCTCCCTTTGGTGGAAGATAAGTCTTCATGACGTCACTCCATACTGTGACCCAAAGCGGGAATCGATTGGAAGTTGGTGAACAGCAACCAAACAAGGAGGTTGCTTTCTTCTTGCATGGGCCTTTGGCCCAGGGTGAGGCTAAATCTGCCTCCCTAGCCTACAAGCACTTCCCCAGATCAGGAATATCTCCAAATTATATGTAAGACCTTTCCTTTTGTTCCTCTTTTTCTACTTTGCTTTATGTTGTAGATATATGTGATGCTAGGTTCTCCACGTGGGACATGTGTATATATACATATATATATATATATATATATATATATATATATATATATATATATAAATATATATATATAAGTTTTTGCGTATGTCGTAGAATATAAAAGTCTCTCTGAGAACAAAAACATGTTTGTTATTCTTTTTCCTTTCAGACATTCTGTTCCATCCTGTCCTGTGAGCCACGTTGTTGCTATATCATGGATATAACGATGCTCACAACGGGAAAAATCTAATTGAGAGTATGAATCTTTCTTCCTAGCGCTATTGTTAAACACATAGAGTGCTGTTCGATAAAAGTGACTCACCTGATTGTTTTTACTAAAAATATTTTTTGTCTATTGTTTTTGGGGTTAAAATAATTTTTAATCTTACTAATATAAAGACCCCCTCCCCGACTATCTAGGAAAAAAATTTATTCACCCTAAGGTATTCTATTGATAATCATAAATTTGGATATAAATGAGATTCAGGAAAAAACTCTGTGCAAAAATGTGACCCAGCTATTGCATTCTAATAATTAAACTGGTAAATTTACAAAATAATGAAAACTATTTTACAATACACTCAGAACAATATTCTAGAGAATTCTAGAACAGATTAAATTAAATCTAGAGTATTCCAGAATAGTCCAGAAAGGCTCATACAGTATAAAAACAGCTTGAAATAGCCACTCAAGTCACTAACCAGATGAAAGGGTACAAACGCTCCAGAACCACTTAAGGCATCTATTGTTGCCCTCTCAAAAGCAGGCAAGTCTACGAGAGAAATTGCTATAACCTCGCAATCAACTGTCTCTAGAGTGCTTAGGGCACATAATGATGCCACTCCTGCTCCAAGGAAGGAAACAAGGAGACGAAAGAAAAAGATTGATGATAAAACTAGCAGGGTAATCAAGAGAGAAGTTGCGAAGAATAGGACTATAACTAGCCAAGAAATTGCAACCAGTCTAAGCGAAGAGCAAGGTGTTAGTCTTGCCTCTTCAACAGTCCGTCAGAACAAGGTTACAAATCTTGTTAGAACAAGGCTACAAATCTTGTACACGAAGGTTTAAGCCGCTCATAAACAAAACCAACAACGCCAAGAGACTTGAATGGGCTCACTATTACAAAATTTTCACCGTAGAAGACTGGAAGAATGTTCTCTTCTTCGATGAAACGAAAGTTGAGCTAAATTCAAAGGATAAGGTGAGTCACTTTTATCGAACAGCACTGTATATGCCCATGTACATACTCAAACACATCAGTGACTTATTTCTATGAAATTGTTTTACTCTCTCTCTTTTTTAGATATATATATATATATATATTGCTTCAACAGTTATTTCAATGGATACCCGTATTTGAAATAGACACCCCGTTATTTTTATTTTAAACAATGGAGCGTATAATTCTAACACGGGTATCCATTGAAGTAATATGAATGTCAGATTACGAAAAATCAATTAACTCTTTAGAAAATGCTTTGTTTAAATTTTCGGATACGAAATCGAGCAGATACGGGTTTGCAAGACAAATCTGAATGAGGGAGTATGCATTCCTTAAAAAGGGAAAATAGACTCTTGCCGGTCCGTGATGCTGATGTGTGGTCGAGTGATCTAAATCCGGCAGGAGAGCACATTTTCTCGAGTGTGCAGACCGGTAGACCTAATACACACTGCTTAAAAAAAACAGAAAGTCAATTTCAAACACGGGTATTCACTAAAATAACGTTTGAAGTAGTAAAATGTTGTTATAATATATATATATATATATATATATATATATATATATATATATATATATATGATACCATATATACCACACCGCTTATATTTACTTACGCTCTATCCCGGATATTGAGTACTTTTACCTCATGAATATAACATATCTTAAAACTATATATATATATATAGTCGAGAGTCGAGTTCTAATTCCAGTGAAATTCCAGTTAAATCCATAGCATTCACTTACGTGAATACCTTTGAATACTCTTTTGCAAAGTATGAATCCTCTTCTCTCTCAGCTTGGACGGCAACTGGTCTACCGCAGAAAGAACATGCAACCTAATGCGGGAAAAATCTGCCCTGAATGCAGATCAAAAGATACATGATCGAAAGAGCGTGTATCATAACTGATGAATAAAATTTGTTATTTAGCTGAATGAGTTTATATTCAGTACCTCGAACCGATTAGTAATCATTCTGTTCAGTCCTCAGGAGGTTTCAGCAATTATCTTATATTAAGTTAAAAACTAATTTTATTATTGGTGTGAGGTTGATTTTTTTTTTCTTTGTATGTTTTTGCGTACACATTTTGTGTACGCATGTGCGGTGTGTATATGTGCGCATGTGTCGAATATCGTGTATATGTTGGAATATTTGTATTTGTACACGCGCACATACACACACACACATACGTATGTGTGTGTAAATATACAATATGTGCATAAAAATATACAATATGTGCATAAAAATATACAATATGTGCATAAAAATATGTTGGTACATTAGTAATTTCATATTTTTCGTGATAATGAAGTTCTATTTTATCCAAGAAATTATTTATTTTCTAACATAATCTCTTTTTGTTTTCAATGCATGTAGTGAATATTAATTACATGAATCGAAAATTCTGGATCAAAATTCTGCTAATAACTTTGTATCAGGTTACGAATGTATTAAACAACCCTCCTATATATACATGTTTGACATATATGTAGATATTTCCATTTAGGCAATTGTATTCAAATATAGTCTTAAAATAATATGTATATGTCAACATAATTGCATGTATACTGGTATGCACATTATATCGGTATCAATTTTTTTTTACGTTTATAAACACATGAAAAGAATATGAAAATAAAGACGGAAAGTCTTCTTTAAGTATTGAAAGATTAGGCGCAAGACAGTTAAGACTCGTATCCAAGTCAAGTGTTCTTGTCTCGTCTCAAGTTTACAACGGTAATGACGATTTAAAGAGCTCGACAGTAATATGAACCTGAGTGCACTGCAATTTAAAATTGTTATCCGGAGTAAATAGAGATAAGAAACAATCTCTCTGACTCACTTCTGCTCCCGCCGTTTGGATCGTCTTATCGAAGATTGTTTGCAGTAAAAACAAGAAATAAAATGAAATAAAATAGAATAAAAAAGCGCGTCTTGTCAGTATACATCAGGCTACTAACCCTACTTACTCAAATATCATGCGTAATATTGCTCGCGGCAAAATGCGAGGGTTGATCGTTGGCTTGTTCTTGAGTGCTTGTTCGTCTCGATTTTCCAGCTATTCAACTGGTTGCAGAAATGAGAAAATACAAGTTTTGTTAAATTCAACCGACAAGTACAGTTTGTTTATTTACTTTTTTATTGCAGTTTTCCTAATTTCGGATAAGACGTTATGTATCGGGATCAAAACAGTGGATAAATTGTCGATGGTTCATGTTTTGTTCTGCTTTGTTCAAGTATTTTGACCGTTTCAGTCATTATCAAGAACTGGGTGTTGTTAGAATAGCAGAGGAAATTTTGTTGGCTACCTCCTGTTTTATTTTTAATAAAATTGCATTAAAAGTATGAATAAAACATTAACTCACCATCATTTAGCATGACCGAATTTGAATGTGAAATGGGGATTTTTTAAAATTTCGATTATGTAATTAGGATCGGCTCTGGTGTCGTAGTTAAAAATGGACCTCAATATGCTTGGAATAAGACTATCTATTGGGAAGTCTTGGCGTCTGTTATCGACAAGAATATTGCATTTTTAAGTTCATTAATTCAATAGAATACGATGATCAACTTACACAATCGCACAGAGCTTTAAAATGGTATAACTATACTTACTTCTACGTGATAAACTTATCTTGTTTCGGTGAAAATCTAAACGGAGAATGTGAGAGAAGAAAACTATTTTTTAAAACATAATTAACAATATTTAATTTAATTTTTCCTCGATCAGCATCTAAATGGCACGGGCGCTTCGGCGCGACGCTCACATCCACACAGGCAGTACCGGACGCACTTCCACTTCGGTCCATTTTCGAGACCCGTTCTCGGCATGCAGGTCGACGTACGGTGTCCGTGGATGGAAGGAGCACTCTAAACTCTCCTTCACCTGTTGTTCGGAAGTCGCAGAGGTGTCTTCTGTCTGGCCCGCGAACATACTGCCACCATTCTGCCGGGAACGGAGGAAACGAAAACGCGATCCGTTATACGTGGCGAACCGGTTTCTTTTCGTCGGACGATCCGCGTGGTGTGTGTGCTTCAAATGCCACGCGCACCTCACGGCACTCCACCGTATCGGGGGGTATCGCGCGCACGCACGAGCGGGAAAGGCTTCGCGGGAATGACTTCGCGGGAGTTTCATTAAATGAATCTTGGTCAGAAGACCAGATTTTGCTGTCGTCAGCAAAAAGAACATATAACAAATAGTGAAGTCTGAAAGGTAGTGAAAAAAGTTCATAAACTATCTCGACTTTTCAAGGCAACGCAGGAAGTTGTGAAACAAATGAAAGTGACAATCGCACTTGTAGTTATCTGAACGGGGGAAATGTTCACAAAGAGCCCAGGACAAAGGCTAAAGAAACTAGAAACCAGAAGACGAGTTCAGACCATTGAGATGAATACTAATAAAATTGCTTGAGTATTGTGGAAAGTTTTTGTCATTTAACCACCAGTGTAAACCACCAATTACTACTGGTGGGAATACTCAATAATAATAATAATAATAATAATAAAGAAGGATATGTACCCTAGAGGGTGACGCATTGCCCATCTCTTTTTATGAGTGGGAGAGCATCACGGCTAAGTTTCGAGAGTTTATTTTTCAATTTTGAAGGATGAAGCAGCCAAGGCGACTCCAGTCACATTTAAATAATTAAGAACCTCCTCAATCATCGTCTGTATGGATGCGGTTACCTGACCTGGAGGTATTTCTAAGTGAGCTTCACCTGCAAGTTTATGCGCTACATTTAGCAAAACCTGTCACCATCTAGCGTAAATTTGGCTGCGATCCATGTGTCTGGTATACATTTAGACTACATGTAAGGATGGCTATATATAAATAATAATAATACATCAATGAGTATAGGAGGTTCTAATGCGGACAGGGGATGCCGATGCATCGCAAGAAACATGTTATCCTACTTCCTCCAGTGGTCTCTTAGTCTTCACATAAAAACGAGCTTGTCTCGGAATCTGGGTTCTTAACCCAGTACGATATTTCTGACTCAAAAAGAAGTTCTGTTGTTTTGATTTCTGGGTAAGCAAGACATGTGTACTCAGGGTGTCACAACTATATCTTATTTTCTGCATGATTTGTTCCTTCGTTAATGGTGTTGGAGATAAACGTTTTTGGAGGGTTTGGAGTTATTCGCCTGATAGTCAGGGATCTGAACCTTGAAGTAACTTCGAAAGAGGCCATTCTATCAGTAAGTTTATAATATTGGAGTTATTGTACTGCCATTTTGTGAATGGGTTTTGGCCTGTGCAGTAGTCTCCATCAGGGTATTTCAATGCCATTACGAAGGAGACCGTTACGGCTGTACGTCCGGACAATTCAACCCAGGTTGTTGATACATGAAGACTAGGGTGTAGCTGTCTCACTACCTTTTCACCTGACCAAACTATCTGATATCTAACAATGATCACAGCAAAATTAAATAAAAACAAACCCAACCCCATGAAAACAACAGTAGACTCCATATTCACCATCTCCTACAACAATATTTGGAGTCTACAGCCCAAATTTCCGCAGGTGGAACTCCATCTTCTCGACGCCAAACCTCACCTCTTATTCCTGTCTGAAACTGGTATCGATCTATCTATCCCAGTAAAGAAACTCACAATCCCAGAGCACTAAACCCTAATAGTAAAACATGACAGCGCCTACATTAAGGACGGGCTCCCATGTGGAAGAGACCCCAAAATGAGGACCCTGATCTCCTGTATATGTTTTTCGCTCCCACTTCACTCACTATTGTCCCTAGAGTGACGGTAGTGTAATGTTTGACGAAATAGTTGAAATGATTGATAATATCCTCTCTGATTATCCCTCAGCTAGCTTGTCATATTTGTGGTGAATTGTTGTTGTACTCGAACAAAACCCACGAAGAAGGCTGCTGAGATTTCTCCGTCGCCAACGAACTGACACAGATCATTGAAGAGCCCACCTATGTTCCCGATGCAATAGAACATCACACCCTGCCCTGAATAATGCTCTGCTGAAGTATTACTCATCATCCGGGAACTGTTTTCAAGAATGCGGGTGAGCGCTCATCCCCGTCTCAGTATAGACTCTTCGGTTTCCTCAGTGGCATTAGCAAAACTTTTGACGCTATAACCAACACAAGAAGGTCGCTGATCACCTCAAAAGTGATATCCTCTTACACGACAAGCAGTATGATTTCGATCAACTCGGTCCACTGCTGATAGCCTAACTGTCATTACAGAATCAGTGAGGCGCTAGAGAATAAATACACCTCATGAACGATCGCATTATATGTTTCAAAGGACTTTGACGGTTGTTACATAAGCTCTCTAGCGATGGAATCACTGGAAGAGTTTACTCAATTATTAAGTCCTTCCCTTTTAAACAGTATAAATTTATGTCTTCTGGTACTTGAAAGGCGAAAATAGGATATTTATATATTTTCAGTGCAACCAGGGACATGACTCAGGAGCGATTTAGGAAGAGGAACAAAACAGAGGTTAAATAATGGAGAGAGCGACCCCCCCGTCTGTATAATAGTGAACGCAGAATGAATATATAACCATCTTTTATTTCAACCGCCAAATCCAATTAAAATAATAAAGAATCAGATAAACTATTAAAGGCATTTCTAATTTAGAGTCATTTTCTCTAAAAGGGTCAAGTGTAAAAAAAAGTTCTCAGAGCCTTCTTTTTGAAAAACAGAGCATGAATACACAGTTAAAAACCGGTGTTGAGTGTTTCGTATTCGATGTTCTTTTACTGTATTGAGAAAAATGGTGGCAGGCAAGATACAAGTGTGACATTGTATGTTGTTCCTTTTTCAAGTTGTACAAGAAAGCAGCAGAATTGATGATGATTGATGCAGTCCGTGTCGGGAATGGTTCACAAAGTTCAAGAAAAATAAATTTGACTTGGACGGCAAACCAGAAAGCGGTAGATTACAAGATTTTGGAAGTGATAATCTGCAAGCTCTTTTGGATGTCCCCTATCACTCAACGTTGGAATTGGCTGAAAAAATGGTGTCAATGTCTCAACAGTTTTAAAACGCTTGCAAAATATTAGATTAAGAAAACGGTAAATTGGTTCCATAGGAATTGTCAAAAAAAAAAAAAAAAAAAAAATGAAAACATCTCAATTTAGATTTCACTCCCAGATATGAAAAAAATAACATTTGTAGCAGTTTGCAACTGGAAAGGAAAAGTAGTGTCACTACAATAATCCGAATCGCTGAACATCTGGGAGAGCCTGCAACGTCAACAAAAATCCTTAAACTTAAAAAAAAAAGAAGCTATTGTTAATGATTTTCTGGGATAAAAAAATGCATGTGGAATTACGAATTGCTGAAACCAGGCGAAACTGTTACTGTAGACAGTTACAGCGGTCTTCCAACAGTAGTGCAATTGAAGAAAAAGGACATTTATAGAACAAACTGGCAAAGTCAAACTGTAGCATGACGTTGCTTTGTTGATTAAAAAAAAAAAGAAAGAAAGAAACATAATGGAATTACGATGGAATTTTTTTCATCATACGGCATATTCACCAGACTTGGTGCCATATGATTATCAATGAATAATTCCTTGTCTGATTAAAATTTTAAAAATGACTACCATGTTCAAAATTTCGTTAGCAATTTTATTGTTTCGAAGCCATTGAAGTTTTGTTAGGATGGAATTTGAAAACTTCCAGAACTATTGACATTATGTCTTCGAAAGTCAAAGAAAATATTTTAATGATTAATAAATATACATGCTACTTTGTTTTTATTTTAATTAAGTGGAAATTTTGTACACAGCTATCGGCATTTTACCGAAAAGTTCAAGTATCCAGACCAGAAGGGTTTTTTTTTTAAGATTTAGTTTGTTTTATACGTATTTCGATTATCAATTCAGACAGAAAATAACCATGTTTATACCAACACGAATAATTACATTTTTGAAAAACTTAAGAAAACTTAGCACACTTAGGGTAAATATATTTGTTGGTCTCAAGTGTTGTATAATATGAAATTGATTTTCGAGAGATTATTCCTTGGTGATTTTGATGCGTGAACGATCGGTGCTGGATGTCACTGACCTGGGCATTGAACATCGTCCAACCTGTAGGTAATATCAGACCATAAACTAGATCTCCAATAGGGTATTACACAAACAAAAAACAAAAGAAAATCACCAGAAATGTTTATTGAGTAGCAATTAGCTCTTTATTCAGAAACGTTTATTTTGTTTGTTCAACTTTTTTGCTTTTGATTGTTCTTTCTTTCTTTCTTTCTTTCTTTCTTTGTTGCTGTTTTCGTGTTTTACTAGTTTGCAAGCTGACCGGCTGACATTGGCGCGCAAACAGCACGAACTGACGAGATTTGCGAATAATTTAAGAAATGGAACTGATGCATCAGATGTCAGAAATACACGCCAAAGAACAAATTAAAGAATTGACGCAAGCGGATGAACACACGCGAACCAATTGACATTCACGCATATAAACAGGTAATATCAATCGACGTTTATGTATTTATCTACATAACATATATTTATATATGGATATTTACGCATATATATGTATATACACATATATACAGACATATACACACATGCTCATGTACAGCCGCTATATATATATATATATATATATATATGTCTGTGTGTGTGTGTGTGTGTGTGATAAAAAATAATGTTAAGGTATGCTATATTTACTGGTTAAAGTACTTAATATCAGGCATAAAGCCTATATAAATATAAAAGTGTACATTGAAGTCAACACCCAGAGGCGACAGTCTGTTTCCGGCTTAAACACAATCGTCAGAAATGCATATTATATATATATATATATATATATATATATATATATATATATATATATATATATATATATATTTATATATATATATATATATTTATATATATATATATATATTTATATATATATATATATATATATATATATATATATATATATATATATATATATATATATATATATATATATATATATATATATATATATATATATATAAATGATATATATATATATATATATATATATATGTATATATTATACACACATATATATATGTACTTGCTTCGGCAGTACATATATATATATATATATATATATATATATATATATATATATATATATATATATATATATATATAAATATATATATATATA